AACGTTGTGAACAAAACGGAGTGAGTGAAATTCTCATTCAAGGAGTGCCGAACTGGTCAGCCATCCTCGAATCAGTTCGCTTGCTTCCGCTTATATATGCATATTTTAAATCAGCGCGCCCCATTCTAAGGTTTTTTTAAAAAAAACCAAGAAACGTAGACTCTTGGTATTCATTACACATAAACTAGCGAGCCCCAGAATGAGAAACAAATTTTAATCATTATTATTGACGGATTAGTAAACTTTTTACACGCTTTGGAAAATCTCAGAAGTTCGCGGTAGTCACTTTTCGGTAAGGAACTAGGGGACTCGGTTATTGTATCGAGGGGGGGGGTCGAAACGATCGCAAAGGCGGTATACTACGTATACGCGCCAAAATTACTTGTAAATAAACTCAAGATTCCTTCATTTTTTCTAAGAAAAAAATGAATATTTTTTGAGACAAAACCAGAATTTGTTGCGACGAGTATTGAGGCATACTTCGTTTTTAATAAAAAAAAAAAGCCTCTCAGTGTATTAGAAAATTGCCTGCAAGCAGATTTTTGAAATTTTGGGCTTGTCGGGTGGAAATACGCATGACAATAGTGATACGGCGTAACGTGATTGGTCGGCTATGCTTTACCGCTGCTTTGTTGTGCGTATATGTCGGGTAGATGGAAGAAATTCTAAAGGCAAAAGGCACCTCTCGAGTTCCCAATAGCATGTTTTCAATTCCACCAGACATACGTATGCACAGCAAAGCGACGATAATACATAGCCGGCCAATCACACTTCGTCATTTCACCTTTGTTGTCTATGTCCTATGTCTACCCGACTGACACCAAATCTCCATAATCGGCCTGCTCTGTAGACGGTTTTCTCCCAAGACTGATAAATCAAGCTACTTGAAGCTTCATCATACGTTGGGGAATCCCTTCTCTTCGACAAAAGCTCTAACTGCGAGAGTATTCTGCAGTTCTTTTCTTTAATTTTGAGTGATAATTTATTCACATTCCAATAGAGATTGATGGGAAAAATAATTCCTCGAGTTACCGACCCAGCACACGCGAACTCATTGTTCCCACTTGCCTCTTTCAAATCTCTTAATTTTTGACGGTCGGTAACTGCAGCACGTCTCTCAAATCGAGCAGTAGCTATGCGATATATCGATTCATCTGCCATTTAAACCTATGGAAAAGGATCGATAAACGGGGTGTTCGCAAAGAACACCTTAATAATCGATTCTTGTCCATAGCTTCAAACGGAGAAACATCGATAATCGCTCATCACCGCCTCGCCACTTCTCTCAGAAGTAATGAATTCTTAATCAGCATAATTTTCTCACGAAGCGAGGTGCGTCCTAAAGTTTCGAAAGAGAAAAGATGTTTAATTTTTTACCGATGGTATTTGATTGCGTCATCAGTTCCTAGACCAGGAGACCCTCCGTCTTGGGTTCAGTTATCAAGTAACTTAACACAACTTAACGTATATGTAAGCACTTAAAATGAGGTGTGTTGTATCTTACATACGATGTTATCCAGGTACGACATGTGCAGGCGAAGAAAAGGCGGTCGTTGTACGAAGGGAACCGCCGGTATGTTCACACTCCCATCACCAATTTTGCCCACTAACCTTCATGTTTCTGGTCTTCCGTGTTGTACATACAGTTGTAGTCGTTATAATTCGGTCTGTGTGGCTGGTGGATAGGCGCAACCCTTCGTGATGAACCCGAAACAAAGAGTGGAACGTTTGCTGTTCTTGCTCATTTTTAACTCCTCTAGTTATTGGGTCATGAAAGCATTTCATGACCAAGTTACCTTCAGTCAGTAACGATTCTTAAAAGTTGGCAATACTGTTTCTCCTCCCTTTAAAATGTATGTAAAAAAATCGATTCTTGGTGAGGCAGTTTGCCTTAGCTGAAATCGATATTTCTAATGGATTTAAATGGAGAAAAACAATGTTGCCAACTTGCTTACGATATCACGGAATGTTGCGCCAGGTTCCGTCCATTTTGTAAATATGCATGCTTTTAAAGTCAGATTTAACCAAAAATGTATTGGCTTAAAAAATGAGTAATTAAAATTGCCAGACTTACAAACAAGGGATCTAAGTTTAGAGCACTTGTCAGTTAGTAAAAAAAATATTCCAGTTCCACAAAAAAGGGAATCAGAATCGGACGGATGTTGTCAGGATTGGTCTAACTGCACTTGGACTACGTTTTGAAATTAGGAACCATAATATCTGGCTCAGTTAGTTCCTATAATTGCTTGATGCCGACTATTTCAAGTTTAGTTATTTAGTCCCGTGATCAATTTGGTGAGCAAATAATCGACGGACATATTCAATGATTATGAAATATATTCTTACAAAATTTTGGATCCGTAATTTTACTTAGACTTCCGTTAAACGAAAAAACATGAGAGAAAATCAGCCAACATCGGATGTGGTTAGACTGATTATCATTATATCCGTCCGATTTTCCCACTTTTCACGGAGACGGTCCAAAACTTTGTATAAGTTTGGATCTTTGCGGCAATGTAGCGTACTAAGAACGCTTTCTCTTTGAAAGGGCGGTTCAGAGGAGACCTACGCTTTTTACGTACGTTTATAAGAATAAACTTGGCGTTGAGAGAAAAAAGTACGCAGGTAATTTGGAGCTCGTGAGTGTAAGGAAAATGCCACAACACAAAACTTACGAAATAAATTCGTTTGTGATACAGCCGGATTAGAAGGCATTTTCATCTACATTTTAAGTCACATTAATTGCATATCACTCCAATTGAAGGCGACGTTGGCGGCTTCAAAATCCTGATCCGAGAGTAATATCGTCAATCAAAATCTACTAAGAGCTCGCTGTGGTGCCAAACACTGATTTAAAAAAATCAGGGTGCGGAATTAAATTCACACCAACAACGATGAAAATTCGCATTTCTTCATGCACCCACACAGATACCTACTATCAAGATTTGTCTCACTTCACATGCATTTTATTACATGAGATACTTGGTGACAGACTAACAATTAAATTTTTCTTTTTATTTAATTGTTTCCGAGTTTTAAAACGGCTAAAAATATTGTAAATAAAATGATAAAAGGTATTGAATTTCAAATGACCGCCTTCAAAGGTGATGGGTTTTTCAAACGCAGCAGCGGCCTTCCGGAACCGGAAATTGCTTTCGTTCAAGGGAGATAGCTGTATATACGCTTCTGGTCTGTGTTTAGTAAATTAACTACAGGCCATCGTACTTTTTTCAAATAACTGACTCTCATCAATGAGGCGAAGTCATTATTGACACATTGCAAACAAAATCGTACATTTGCTTCGATTACGTTTGTTGGAAAACGTGTGTCAACGTCTTCGTAACCTTTTACCTTCGCTCTCGGTTACAACTTTTCCATCAAGTAAAAATTGAAATTAATTCTTAAAATTTTGTATGACTTTTCATCGTCAAGAGAAAGCTATACTAAAAAAAATGTTGGATGGTCACGTTAGGAGTATTTTTTTCCAAAAGTCTAGCAATTTCTAGTTGAGGTCATCAACATACAGTATGCACGAAGAAATAAGGGAGATACCTCTGAAGATAAAAGAGGAAAATAATTCAAAAGGGTTTACCCTGTTCACACATTTTCTTGTGGACTCAACTTACAAATAGTGGTTTCGACAGGAGCCGTAAAGGCTTTCCGTTGTCTGGCGCTGAGGGAAAAGCTGTTTCATCTTCTTTTACACACTAAAAAACAGAAGAAAATTGGCAACCAAGGCTGATAACAAACAAACAGTAACCACAAGGGAGTTGCAGCCCTCTCTTTGACCGGGATTTTTTGTTTCTTGGTCGAGAAGGGGGTAGAAACCGCCTCGAAACGCCCCAGGCATTCTGTTTGTTTGATTTAAGCCTTGGTTGCCCATTTTCTTCTGTTTTTCGGTTAAATTTTTCGGGCAATTTTAGTGTATTATTCTCTTACACATATTAGCACGAATGTATAAATTAAGCATTACGAGCATGTTTCAAAGTCTGAAACCTTCAAGATCGAAAAAGTAGAGATAGTCGAGAAACTGTACTGTCGCCGAAATAATGATACAGAAACATATTGCACTTATATGTCGCCGTTTGATACCTCGCCAACTTTGAACACATACTGAGAGATAGAGAGGGGGGGGGGACCTGCGGGCAAAGAGAGGGAACCGTGTTTTTTAGATGATGTAAATGCTACAATGATCCGTGAAAGGATAAATGAATTTTGAGTCTTTAAGATTTGAAACCTACAAAAGCATTGGGAACTATGTAATCAGGCCCGTTACAAAAGACCATTTTTGTTAATTTTTGTGGATCGTTAAAAAATCTGTAAACTTTGCCAGGTCCTTCCCCGCGTCCGAATATTACTTTCTCTAAAATTCAGCTGATGTAAAATCCTTGAAGCTTAGTTCTTTAAGAAAGGAATTAGGTTGTTCGAAATCCAGAACGACAAAAAGGTATCAAAGATGGGGACGATCAGGCCGAATTTCGTACAATTTTTTTAATTCCTTTCAATTCTTGTCGAAATTTTTACATACAGCAGACCGATTATTGAGAGTTTAAAGATTCCCGATAGAACATCGAAATGCGATATATTGCATGGTTAAGATAGGGTTTTGTAATGTCTTGTCGTTTTCACATAGTTTCAATAATCGGAACGAAATCTTTTTTGAACAAATGTTACTTCCTCTAAGGTTCAGCTGAAATAACGCCCTGAAAGCTTAATGCTACAGGGGAAATATGAAGTAACTGTGGTACCACAGGGAAAAATGTAAATTTCAGAATGGTGAAAAATACGATTGTACATTTTGTACATAAACGTCCGATCGAAGACCAGTGCACGAACCCCCATGTCCCGTTGCGCGAATGTACTTTAGCGTGTGCGCCTGACTTAATTTTCAGCGAGTTTTTTTCAGAGGGAGCCCCGGCCCCGGAGTGCGTGCCCGCGAGTCGAGCGTGAAGTATCTTGACTTTCGAAGGCGAAATTAAACTGAGCTTTTGGTTTTACAGATTAGATATGTGCAGAAGACAGTATCCGAGCGAGGCCTGTAACCGAGGCACAGCAGGTATGTTGTCCGCCCGTGACGTGCACCCACTTGATACTTGAACCCCTTGCAATGCTCCACTACACTTCGACCCTCTTCCGGACTCTCTCTTCCTCACTCACCACACTCTTGCACTCGAGGTTTTCACTCTCTTACTCTCTGTCTCTTTCTCTCCCTCGTTCTCTTCCTCAATCCCTTTCTATTCGCAGAGAAGAAAAAATCCTTCTTTCTTTCTTTGAAAATTAAAACAAAACTTAATTTTTTTCTTTGAAAATTAAAACAAAATTTGATTTCTTTTCTTCAAATATCAAAACAAAATTTAAAAATAAAAAAATTCAATTTCTTTCTTTAAAATTCAAAAGAAAATTTTCTTGGGGTAAAAGATTTTTGGCGTGAATTTGGTTCAATTCAAAGAAACGTGACTTTTGTATCGATGACAAATTTAATTTTTTTTAATTGAGAAAAAATTTCTCGCTCAAAAATTATTTCTTCGAAATAATTTTTTTCTTTCACTAGATAAAAAACGCCTAAATACAGAAATTAATTTTGTTTTAATTTCAACGAATGTTTTACACAATTTTTTTCGTGTCATTCCCTAACTTTCGAAGAACTCACATACCCCGTCAAAACAGGGGGGAAGAGACCATTCGTCATTTATTGGACGAAGCGATGTAACTAAATATCCATGTTGCAAAATTTTGACTTGCAAATAAAGTAACTTTGATGAGGATAGTGCTGGGTGTTTCAAACTAAAAATTCGACCAATTTTTCTTTTGAATACAAGCAAAATTCAACAACGTTTTGGACGGGCATTGCACAATCACATTCTTGTAAAAATTATATGTTTCGAGTCAATTTTGCAACCTTGGAATAGAGTTACGTTTCTTCCCTGGAGGATGACGATTTGTGACTGTCGACGGGGAAAAGGAGCTTAGTCCACACATACTCAAACTCGAGATATTGATACAGGAGCACGGGGGAATGTTCTGCGAACATGCGGGGAAAAAACTTCGAAAAATGACAAAATTAACCGGAGGTCTGGCAGTTTGAAAATTCCAGTTCGAGTCTGGAGAAAGAGCTTCTTATAAGTCTAACCTGTCGTGTTCAGGATATAACATTTTTGGCCTTACGACGCATTACACCGTCTGCGAGCAAAATAATAAATTAATGAAAGATGAATGTGTTAAAACTATTATTCACAGTATGATGTGTTTTAAACGTCAAAAGCTCGTTCCTTAAACTTCCAATTTCTTCTCATTTCCGTATTTCTTCAATCACTGTTAAACTAACCCTTGAAGTTGCTTGCAAAAATGCAGAAAAAAGACAAGAGAAATATTTCTTCCTAGATTCTTTTCTTTCAAACTACTGCATGGAAATTTCGAAAGATGCCGTTATTTTCAAACGATGTTGATTGTCTTTTGAAATTAACGATCAATGTGTGAAAGTGCATGCAAAAATACACCAGCACGAGTATCTTACGAAGTTTCACACTGAAAAAAGTTCAATTTTAAGAACCAAATTGGAGCTCTGCAACTGAGGACCAATCAAAGAGCGTCATAGACATAGCAGTAGGCAGAATCAATATTCTCCCTAATTGGATCGGTTTCTGCTAGACGAGCCTAAGTCCAAAAACTCATAAGCCCTGGCTTCCGTTGATCACGAAGGACGCTAGGGCTCATGAGTTCTTAGACCTACGCCCACTTAACAAAAACCGAGTCAATGGACCACTAGACAAGGTACGAATTGTAGCATTCTGATACTCGTTTCATAACCAAAATTTCACGTAGAACACGATACGCACAACGAAAGTTACCGAAAACAACTCCCTCCGAAGATATTAAATGATCCTTGGTGCGTAGATTAAAACCACCCGCTCATGAAAACTCAATGCTCTACGTGATTCACATCGCGCGCTGAACATTATCATGAACGTCTCTGCGATAAAAAAATCTGGCAACCTCTATCTTGACGCTTTGGCTCAGCTATAGCAAATTACTCAAATTACTCATAGTTTGAAAAACAAATGGTGTGAAATGAACATTGCTCGATTGAGAAGCTTCCTGAAACCGTTGTAGTGCGCGATTTGACTCACGTAGAGCTTTGAGTTTCTAGTGAGCGGCCGTTCAAATTCCTCGTAACCAATGTGAAATAAAAACGTTAATATCTTTGTTAGGAGATGATTTCGGTAATTTTCGTTGCGCGAATCGTGTTCTACGTGAAATTCTGGTTAAGAAACATGTATTAGAATGCTTAAATTCGTACCTTGTCTAGTGGTCCATTGACACTCTGGTTCTTATGATCGGACTTAGATTTCAGTGTTCGGAGGAAAGCCTATCACTTTCGAAGTCTGTCTCTTCTCTTTACTGTCTGTCTACTTGGAATCGAACCTTGCACCCTCTGTACTTTCCTCTTTTAAGAGAGCATCCAAACCTGTACAACGACTGTAACTACCAACTGTAAATCGAGGCATTGGCCGTTCGGATGTATCATACAAAAAATGCAATGCAACGAGGAAGAGTCGCCTGCAACGAGCACTTTCGAGCCGATCTCTCAAACTGCCGTACTGAGGCAAAACGTCGTATGAACCTTTGGGCGTTGCCAAATTTCCTTTGGTAAATCACAAACTTCTTGAGAAATTTGTAAATATTTTTCCTCAAAATTTTCAGATAATTCTGTTTGCGACTTCAACTAAAGTTCCAGAAAATAACAAGGGAAAATATTCATGGCTTTCCTCAAAAATAAACATTTTATCGGAGGAAATTTGGCAACTCTCGAATGTTCATGCGGCGTTTTTCCTTAGCACGGCAGCAAAGCAGTGGCAATTTTGCAAGATGGCAACGCTGTTCTTTATCCATTTAAAGCCATTGAAAATATCGATTTTAGGCGAGATAAGCCGCCTCGCCAAGAATCGATTGTTTTACATGCGTTTAAATGGAGAAAAAACAGTATTGCCGAAGTTCAAGAATCGCCACTGCCCCGAAGCATGCCTCGCGGAGAATTGTGGCATTTTAGCATTTCACGTTTCACCCGACCCAACCATGTACAGACGCCGAACCTTGTACAAAATTGCTCGAAACAGACCTGACTCAGAGCACACTTGACACACCACTTCACTGGAAAAATATAAAAGAAAAAAGATTCCTTCCTGAAAAAGAAACGTATGGTCTTTGATTCCTACCCTTTAATTCTAATAATACATGTATTAATGAAATTAAATCTTCGAAAATTTTAAGAAAACAAACTACATATATTTCTTTCTGTCAGTGTACCTTATATTGAACGAAAAATGTTTTATTTACTTCAGAGCATGAGTTTTGTCGTCGATATTACATGGAATTGCATTAAAAACGTCAACACCTAGACGTATGCTTTGAGGTGAAACAAATGGTTTACATTTTTTAAAAATAAACTACTACTTCTGACTTATTTCAGAAACGATAAATGTATTATTAGATCCCTTTTGCAGTTGGGTAATGTGATTATTTTTTTAAAATTTATTTTATTTTATTTTTATCATTTTAAATTACTATAATCACTGGAGACTATGCAAAAACTTGATAGCAGTAACAACTTGAAAAACGCTCACTCCGCGAGTTCAACTAATTGCAGTAGACAAGCAACGCATATAAGCGCCTACAGGACTGGAGGAGTACTTCACGCATTGCGCGCTCGACGCATGTTGTCGCCTACAAGACTGAAGGAATACCCCATGCATTGCGTTTTTTCTCGGATGATTGGTGCTTTGACGGATGAGCCAGATATAGTAGTTCCTCGCTGCAGAATTTAATCCAAATACAATTGGATGAAAAAAAAAGTTGTTGGCATGCAATGTGTGTTTCTCTACTTAAATAACGCAAGGACTTGATTTTGAAAAAAAATATTATTTGAATCAAAAGGAAGAAATCAAAGGCAACACGTTTCTTCCCGAGTAATTTTTTTTTCTTTTTCTTCTTTTAAACAAAGGCTGAATTCGTCCGCTACGCGTTAGTTATCTAAGGACTCTCAACGTAGGACCGGAGTATCGGAATAAGACCTGCGTTTATTTTGACAGAATACGCACTTTCAAAGGCGCTCATCTTCGTAGAGAAACCAAAAGCGAATACGTCGTTTTCCAAAATAGCCATGAAATATGGTTCTTTCCAAAAGTGCGCCAGACCAAAAACCCAAAGACGGATATTCATGTGATCTTGCGTAAATTATTTAGGGCCAAAAAAAAAAAATGAGCGTACCAAAAAAATAACAAGGCGAATTTGAAAGCTGGGAAGTGAAGAAAAATGTCTCCATTTGTAATGGGAGATGGCATATTTTTTCAAAACCATCAACAACCGCCCCCCATGTAAAATTTCCAACCTTTGAGATTCCTTTCAACGATGAGAATTTAGCTAAAAGGCCAAGATAATATTGTTATTCACAGACAACTCCGCTGATTATAATGAAACGACGAACTCCTACAAATGAGGGGATAAACTAGAATAATCGGGTTTCCTTGGAGGTAACCGAGTTGAACGAATTATGCTATGAATCGCATCAGGTAAGTGATAAAAAGATTATGGAAGCAGGATAAGTTCGGTGAATAAAATTATGCAAAAGACATCAGGATTTTGCATGTCAAACAAATACTGAAAAATAAAAAAAAAATCAAGCAAAGCCTGAAAGTCAACATTTCATTCATTTCTTTACTATTCAATCATATTTGAAAAATGAATGGTTGTTAGTTGCATGGGTTTACACTAAACACTTAATACTAACGCTGCTTTTAGAATGCCAACGGTTTTAAGAAATCGGAAAATGCGTTTAAAAGTACTTTACGGAATGATGAGCATGCATGCTTCCATAGGCTTATGATATGATAACAGTGGTGCTGGTGGTGATTTTGAGATTAGATAGAGGTAAAAAAATTCTCCATTGGAGAATTTGCAAGGGTCTGAAATTTGATGAATTTCCTGTTTAAGTGGAATCCTCTGAGTGAACTGAACACGAAGATACCCTTGATTCATAAATTGAGCGATTATTAGAGGAGATATGACAAAATAACCGATTCTGCTAAAATACATGTGTTTAAATGGGAAATGCCGCCAGATGACGTCACAAGGCGGCGCATTTTCTCACTTTTAAATCAATTTTCCTCCAATTTCCCATGTCAGAAAAAAATTATGAAAAATATTGCGAACTCAGCTCATTAGGCACTTTCAGATGAAGCAATAAAAAAATTGCGTGCAAATTCTCCATTCCAGAATTTGCTTTACTGCTTTCTCCTTTTTGATTATTGACAAAAGAAGCATAAATTGGGATGAAATAAATATGAGTGGTTGTAAAGAAAATTCTCTGCGACAGGATTAAGGCGATTAAAAAAATATTACGTGACTTCAAAAGTTATGAATATTAATAAAACTTACTTGGAGACGTATAGTGGCTAAAGTTCGTGTTATTCGTTAACAGATGGAGTTGAAAGACTGGGCGTTATGGCGTATGATTATACTCCGCCTGAAACAAAGAATGAAAGATACTTGAATGCTTTTGAAGGGTGGATTATTTTTCACAGGATATGCTGCTAAAATGAGCTAAAATAATTGCTGCTGAATGAATAAATCGATATATGTCACAATGAAAACATAGAAGATAAAAAGGTCTAAAGGCAGAAAATTTCCAGTCCTACATTGGATTTCAGATTTTGAGTGCTATTACCACTTTCAAAGATAGTTTTGTATATACTGCACGTTCATTGGTTGATGAAAGAATGGTACAGGAGGCTCCTTTGGAAACAGTTCGCAATAGGAAATTATTAAAACTGGCTCATTTTAGAAACGACTTATGTGTCATTAGTTTTCCTATGCATACAGGATCTGTTTTGAATGGGCTAGAAATAGTAGTTTCTAGTATTGCAGGATGTGATTCCATTCTTTTTGAGTCGAGATGAACAGCGAATAACAGAACAGCAAAATGTTATACTAAATATCATAATACAAGATTTAATTTTAAATCAAAATGTAAATACTTCAAAATACTAACTACTTACTTAACTATAATTCTGAATCTAAGTCTGTTCATGTGATTTATAATATCAGTAGGAAGTCTTACGAGTTTTAGATTTTATTCTTAGGTATGTGTAGTGTGTACATACATTAATCCCGTTTAGAAAGTATGTCCCTTGTAAATATTGCGCATGAAATATTTGGATGATTAAAAACTTTATTGATCTCTGTATATAATTGGTTGGGAAATGAATTGTACTTGAATTTTAAAATCCTTTAAGAAATCTCATAAACCACTGCTAGGTACAGTTAGAAACCGAGCATTATTATACAAATTTCCTTTTCAAAACACGTTTAATGTATTCGGAATTCCAAAATCAATTCAAATAAAATACGCAGAGCAGAAAACATTACACTCGTGGTTAAAAAGAATTCAATGAGAGGTTCAATTTTTAACACAAATTTGAGCAATTAAAAATAAAAATCCCCCTTGGAGAAGAAAGCTTTAGATATCTAATGAAGATTTAAATTGCATCAAAAGGATGAACAATTCCTGGCTATTGAGAAGCTCATTTGCGAAGTGTTGTTGAGTATACTCGCGACTAATGAAAATATTGCGATGGATTTTAGGGTTCGCGTACGTAGGAGGTGCTTGCGTAGTCAATAAGAGGTTAGAAAAAGTCAATAGTGTTGCCATCATCGAAGATACGGGTGGATTCTCCGGTATCATCGTGGCTGCACACGAAGTTGGACACTTGTAAGTATCGAATGCTTTTCAACTCTTCGGCTTAGTGATTGTAATTATTACGAGAAGTCATGAAGACTTGAATGAGGCCTCTCAGGACACGTTGACGCCCTAAGTTCTGAAGAAATTTAGATGTACATGATAACACTGCCGTGCTAAGGAAAAACGCCGTATGAACCTTCAGGCGTTGCCGAATTTCCTTTGATAAAACGCAAATTTCCTGGTAAACTTATGAATATTCTCCTCCCAATTTTTCAGATAATTTTGTTCGCTATCTCGCCTAAAGATTCTGAAAATTTAAAGGAAAAATACAACTTTCCTAAAAAATAAACATTTTATCGAGGGAAATTTGGCAACTCTCAAATGTTCATACGGCATTCTTCCTTAGCATGGTAGAACAGATGTAATACAGGACATCGTGTAGAGGAGCATCAGCGGGCTCCTTATTGAAATTGGTAGACAAAACTATAGACAAAAAGGACAAAAGGGATATGGAGGGATCCTATTGGTGGAAACAGGTGGTTGCAATGGACATAGGAGGTAGTAAGTAATAGACTAGCTAACGTCAACCCACGAGAAACCTATAGTTCGCCAATCATTCACCCTTTGGTCTATGAGACCCACCCATTTAAACCAATATGATCGCTCCATACCCCCTATGTCATCTGTATCTATAGCTCTATCTATCAATTACGACGGTCAGCCCGCAGCTGCCGTGTAAGCAAGAGCCGGGCGTTCTTTAAACAACTCAGTTCCCTAAGAGGACCCTAAACGGTTAATATGCACTGAAAAAAAAACACATTGGATCTAGAGTCCAGACTCTTGAAAACATTAACAAGAAAAAATACTCTTGATTCGATCAGATTTAAGCTTAAATCAAAAGGAAATCCGCTCAAATTAAGAGGCTTGGTTCTTGGTTTAAGCAAAAATTCGATTAAAACAAAATTATTTTTTCTTGTCGATGTTTTTAAGAGTCTGGACTCTAGATCCAATGTGTTTTTTCCAGTGTGGTAATTTAGAAAGCAACTAAAATAGCAACGTTAAGAGGAAAATTTTTACAAGCCTCCGATATGGTTCAGTAGAATAACTTTGGAAATAGGACCTTTCAGGGAATTAAAATGATTTGATACTAAAAAAAAAAATGAAAAAAAAAAAAATTTTATGTTGTTGACAAACCTTGCTGTAGGCGAGGGCCGTAAAAATTTCAAAATTTGCGGTATTATTTTCTGTAAAGACGAATCATCGTAATCCCTTCCAAGAATCTGTTTCCAAAAATCTTTTTTATTATATTTTACTGGAAATTCGTAAAATTGTCCAACAGATACATTCTTTGAAATATTTAAAATGTATTCTTCTTTACTATAAGTGATCTAGTCGTGAGTTTGGAATACTGAGATTTTGACTTTGATTTGGTTACAGATTAGGTGCAGTTCACGACGGTTCCCCGCCGCCCACGTATCTGGGCGGTCCTGGAGCCGAAAAGTGCCGCTGGGAAGACGGCTTCATCATGAGCGACCTCCGGCATACGGAGAAAGGCTTCAAATGGTCGCCTTGCAGTGTCGCCTCTTTCCATCATTTTTTGAAGTAAGTCTCACTCAAGTGTCATCCAATAATTTGAGAAATAATTGCAGCCAATTGAATAAGGTGGAAGAATAATAAGAAGAGAATAATAATAATATAAAAAAAAATTACGAAGCTCTCTATTTTCCACGGTGATCAGGAACAGAGGTCTATGACGGTTTTGGCGGGGAACGAGTGAGCGAAATTGGAATCGTAATCGATACATCGAACAAGCGCTCTATCGATGCAATATATTGTTGCCGACTGGTTCAACACATTGAAATAACTTCAATATTTACTCATACAACGAACTGTGAAATGCATGCCTTCACTAAGGCATATGTTTTATTCGACTAATTGCGACTATTTATCAAGGTATTGAGGCCGAAAAATCGATGCAAATTTGAGATGTTCTAGAATTGTATTCAACAGTGTGGTGTTGAGTATTGAAGTTATCTCAATGTTAGAAACAATCGATGTATCAAGCTACTATCGAATACGGCCCGTTGCTGGTTTGCCTCCATTTTTCCAAAGGCTAGAAAATATCCTCAGAAAAATGACAAATATCTAAGTCTAGGATTTGTCTATTGTATACTCTCTACATTCTGTTCATGTCTGTAAATCTTGCCTCACAAAAAATTATACCCAACCCCAACTTGATAATTTTGATTATGGCTCGTAGTTTTCTCAACGATTGATGGTGAATAAATGATATCAAAATAATGACACATTTCTAGATTACTTCGAATACTTTTATTTCTACCATTGCAGATATCTTTGTGGGTTTTTTTCCTTTTTTATTCCTGTTTGAATAATTTTAATTGATGAGAACATAGTGATGTAATTTTTTATTATCTCCTTCTTTTTTCAGTGGAGACACGGCGACATGTTTATACAATTCACCACACGAGGACGAGTCGCTACCTCGAATGTTACCAGGGAAACTATTAACATTAGACGCTCAGTGTAGAAAAGATAGAGGCACCAGCGCCTGCTTTGTAAGTTCCTCAATTTGACGACACATTTGATCGCACGCATTAGGGTGGACCGAAAAACCGAAAGTTTGAAAAGTAACCGTTTCCAACCAAATTTTCTTATTGGAAAATTCCGATTAACTTCCCTTAAAATTTCAGGTTTCAAGTAGAATCGTAGACTGAACCATACATACACACGTCTGCTTATACAAAAAATTACACTTCAATTGCACGAAAATAGGTTTCATCCTAGAATTTCGATTTTCTGGCGTTCCTATATGAGGCCCGAAGATGCACGTTTAAAATGCACCGGTTGAGCTGAATTTTTTTCTGAGTCGGATTTAACAGATTTAAGGAGTGGGGGCAACAAAAATCTGACATCTACCAAGATGAGCTACCCTAATGATACATGCATCTTAACGGGTGGAGCGTGGAGCCCCGCGCCGCGCGTGGTTGGAAACGAAATCGCTGTTAGTCCGCCTTCAAATTTGGGGACGCAACCCAGCTCCACACAGAGGTTAATTAAGTTGCATCGACCGATTGTCTGTATTCTGAATAATTCTACGTGTCCTGAGGAACTATTACTTAAAATTCAGGAATTGTCAATTAATTGAGAGACGTATACTTCCATGCTAAGGAAAAACGCCGTATGGACTTTCGAATGTTGCCAAATGTCTCTCGATAAAGCACTAAATTTAAGGAAATGTATAAATATTTGTCTTGGGAAGATCAACTTGCAAAAAAACTTGACTGAAAAGAAAAGAATTCTACATTTTTCAAGAAAATCTGTGTTCTATCAAAGCTAATTCGGCAACATCCGAGGGCATATACGGTGTTTCTCCTCAGGAATGTAGTATAAGTCAGAATCACACGCTGAATTTGGCAGCTGAGTATTGGAGTCAACAGTCATCGCTCAACAGCTAAAATTTCGTCAATTCGAGTTATTTCCATCCAAATTTGTATCAAATCTAGTCAAATAGTTGAGAAAAACTGATAACTGCTGAGTTCCAATACTCATCGGTGCCCTGAATTTTGCGAATGACGCGTAAAATTCAGGCATCGGGCCGATGCCTTCCATATTCAAGCCGCATTCAGCGTGTGATTCCAGCTATAGTTATCACAAACTACGAGCCCTCATCATCACGGAATGAGCATGACAACTATACAAACATCCCAACAGTTGCAGCACCGCGTCGTTTCGGTCGGAAACGAAATGGCTGCTAGTTTGCCTTCAAATTCGGCGAATCAACGCACCCCACACAAAATTTGATTAAATCGTATCCATCGATCGGCTGTTGTCTGAATGTTTCTTCGTATCCTACATGTATCTTAACGGGCGCGGCTTCGCGCCGCACCTGGCAGCGCGCTTGGAAACGAGATGGCAACTAGTTCGCCTTCAAACTTGGCGATGCAACCCGACCTCACACAGAAGTTGATTAAGTTGTGCCCAGCGATCGCCTTCAAATTTGGCGATGCAACCCAACCTCACTCAGAAGTTGATTAAGTTGTATCCATCGGTCGGCTGTATTCTGAATGTTCCTTCGTATCCTAAGGACATATGGACGTATTTCTACCAGACAGACCTATAAGCAAGTGAGAAATATGGGGTGTGCTCGTTAGTTCTTAAAGCGCCGGTGACGTCAGCGGCAACGAGGCCCCCCTCCGCGGTCGCCCCCGTCCGCCCGCCTCCGCCTAGACTCATGAGCCCTGTCCACAACGCTCTCTTGCCATGCCCGCGGCTCATGAGTTCCACATTTAGTTCGCACATAGGTCTGTTTGATAGAATGCAATATCCCGCTTTTCCAATTCTTCAAAAGGAACCACGCCCTCTTTTACATTGCTTCTAAGGCAGCTTTCTAGAACACACCCCATATTTCTCGCCTCCACATAGGTCTGTTTGATAGAAATACGTCCATATTATTGTCTTATTGATTGAAATCGCAGTAATTTTTGTTGGTGTTGTGACGTTTTACAGAAGGATGACCGAGTGTGCGCGCAGCTGTTCTGCTTCGACGCGGGCTCGGGGTACTGCGTGGCGTACCGGCCGGCGGCGGAGGGCTCGCCGTGCGGGGACGGGCAGTACTGCACCAACGGGCGGTGCATCGCCGAGCACGAGAACATCATCCCCGACTACTCCCACAACACGCCCACCTACCTCGGCCGCCTCGACGACGACACCGCCGCCACCCAAGTCCGCGAGGTCTACGCCAACCCGCCCAACGCCACCACCACCAGGTAAACACCGTCGCCCCACCATCGCCGTTCGTCTCGCCGGTAAAAATGTCCTACGCCTTGGGGTACCAAACAAACCAGGAGAATGGGTCAATGGACCACTAGACAAGGTACGAATTTCAGCATTCTGATACACGTTTCTTCACAAGAATTTCACGTAGAACACGATTCGCGCAACGAAAATTACTGAAACCAACTTCTAACGGAGATACTACCGTTTTTATTTCACATTGGTTACGAGGAATTTGAACTGCCCGCTCACAAGAAACTCAAAGCTCTACGTGAGTCAAGTCGCGCACTACAACGGTTTCAGCAAGCCTCTCAAACGAGCACTGTTCATTTCCCACCATGTGTTGTTCAAATCATAAGCGATTTGCTATAGCTGAGCCAAAGCGTCAAAATTGTCGTTGCCAGATTTTCATATCGCAGAGACTGTCACGATAATATTCAACGCGCGATGTGAATCACGTAGAGCATTGAGTTTTATTGAGCGGGTGGTTTGAATTCACGTATCAGGAATCATTAAATATCTATGTAAGGAGTTGATTTCGGTAATTTTTGTTGTGCGCATTGTGTTCTACGTGAAATTTAGGTGAAAAAACATGTATCAGAATGCTTAAATTCGTACCTTGTCTAGTGGTCCATTGCGGCTGTTTGTTGAAATTGATCAACGATCTAGAAACAATAGATAAGGTGATCTTAAGCCCTGGATAGACAATCAAATTCGGAACCAATTCCGATCAAAGTAGACATGCTGATGACTGGTGGTCACCATCTACCATCAAATTTTGACGGGCCGCACTTTTTTGTTCAAAGTGAGATCAGAACGGAGTGCCACCATTCATCATTTCCTGCCACAGGAAACATTTCTGCCAAGTTTTCATTAATAAACGAAGCAAATTAATGAGTTTGAGACTGATGACTCCCGACACTTTGATGCTACTTTGATCGGAATTGGTTCGGGAATTCGATCGTCTATCCAGGGCTTAATGCTACGCCAACGATGAAATTCGTAACACACCAGGAGCAACAATTAGGTTAGGACGAGGATAGTCGGTTCCCAAGGTTCCTTATGGGACTTTTGCTGAATGAAGACTTATATCAAATTCAGGATCAACTGTTTGGAAATCTGTGTCCAGATATGAAACTCAGCCATTCTTCATGAGAGTTTACAATAGAAAATTTCAACGCTGAATCATTTATTGTCAAAATTCCTGTGAGATCTCAAGTAATAGAGGTTGTGTCGAGAATAGCAATTGGACAGCTCCACTCCCCACCCGCCTATCGAACGACCGCTCCATGTGTGTTACGTTTTTTCGTAGGCCACCACCAATCCACAGTTTCCGTATCATTGAAATTGATAGACAAATGGAAAACTTTGCGATCCCATAGATGGAAGCGGGTGGTTCCAATCGGCAAAGAAGATAACAGTGTGAGTAACGGCAACTCATCATAGTTCGACCATCATTTTCCAGTTTCCCCCTCAGCCTGTGACCACAACCCGATTCAATCGCTACGATCGCTCTATTTTCCTTTCCTCTCTATTGTCTATTACTTTGTCCATCAATTTCAATAATCAGCCCGCAGTTGTCTAATTTTTGAGGAAAATTTCCTCATAAAAATTTGTTGTTACCCCTCAGTCTGCTCTAGAATCTGAAAAACTAGACTTTACTCTGGATATCAGAGAAGAAGCTTCCTCTTTTTTTTCGCCTAATTAGTCAGTGAATAGTAATTTAGATTAATTTCTTTCCTTAAACGTAGCTTAGAACACTTGAACCGTAGTTAAAGGTCGTAGATGGTAGTTAGCAACTTCGAATTCACGCCACAGTCAGCAATCAGAGGCGATTTGGCAACACTGTCTTTCCCTCCATTTAAATCCATTGAAAATATCGATTTCAGGCGAGACAAGCTGCCGAACCAGGAATCGATTGTTTTACATATATTTAAATGGAGGAAAAACAGCGTTGTCAACTTCCAAGAATCGCCATTGACAGCAATCACAACTTCGTCACTTTTCTGCTTTAGCAGGGCTCAGTCAAAGCCAAGAGACGTGAAAAGAGTGGCTATAACCATGCTGAGGTACAGCTTTATGTTTGGATGAACTGAGCTCTGTTTTTAGATGTAGTGAGCTTTTCATGTTCAGCACTGCCTCTTCTTGGCTTACATCTTAGAAGCAGTCTAGTTTAGTCTTAGGAGTCAGTTATTAGCAAGGTACAAACATTATCACCCACCACAATAATCAGATCATCATCATCATCGCACTTTTCACAGGGAGAAGCTTGGATTGGCCACTTTTTCATTTGTCCGAGGGAAAAAATTGGTAAAAATTCATCCAAAATCAGCATTACGGTCAGTGGCGAATTTGCAAGTTGGCAACCCTGATTTTCTCCATTTGAATCCATTAAAAATATCGATTTTAGGTGAGGCAAGCTGCCCCACCAAGAATCGATTGTTTTAATTTAATTAGATGGAGAAAATACAGTGTGACCAACTTTCAAAAGGCGCCCTTAAAATCAGCCTCACAGTTTTTACGTCGCCTAATTTCCTGTCATGTTTCATACTTGAGACAGGAGACTAAACGACACACCGCCTGGAATTTTTCATCGACTTTTAGGAATACACTCACAAAATGTTAAAACAGAATTTTGCTTAGTTTTCTGGTAAGAAGTGAAAAACGAGAAATTAGGCAACGTCTGCGTAGTTAGGCTGATCCTGATTCAATCAGCCCAATTGTGTGCTTCAGAGCTTGTCTGCTAGAAAATTCCCACCTCCTGGCTACACGCCAGCCGAGCGAATTAAAGGCGCCTTCATTTGACAATAATACCACGCAATACTCTCGAGTTGAAATAGTTGCGCAAACCGTGAGAAGGCGCTGAACTCATATCGCTCCGTGACGCTGGACGCGTAAGGTAATCGTAGACAAAATTTATAACAGAAAACTTAAAAACTACTTTGAAAGTAAAAATTACGAGTTTGAAGAAAAAAGGATTAATAATTTTCACTCGGAACATACTTTTGGGGTTATGATGAAGTTTTACCCGATCAAATTTTGAGTCAGAAGACCTGACGCACTTGAGCAAGTTGCAAATGATATTGGGAAAAATCTCCTCTTTACAAATTATCAATTGACCGATCGACTACTGGGCAATCTCGAAAAGGGTACTTTTATGTAAATTTTCAGACTAGCGAGCACAGCACCTTGTACGATTCGAGCGACTATTTTAACATCGAAGTGTTGCGTGGTAACATCGTTATATGAAGGCATCTCTGAATTGTGTGGGTAGAACACCGATTTTCAGGGCTGGCAGGGTAGTGGACATTTTCGGGAGCTTGCCTCCCGACCATTCGCAGGAAATTATCTCAGGTGCCATATTCATATTCGACCTGTTCAAGCTTAATGGTCTCCGCAGCTGGCGGGTTCTATGATTCTTTATGGCATAAGGGGGCATTTAAACCGAGCGAATTTAACTATGAATACGGCTTTTATACCTTCTTCGCAGATCGGATCTTAGAGTGCAGAAAAAAAGGGCCTCGAAATAGATTCTCAGGACGTGACGCAAAATCATAACCTCATAATAGACGCTGGCAAATTAGAGTTCTTAAGTGTCAAAAAGGAAGCAAATCGCGAAGGCCACCGTAAGGCAGTCATGTCAAGGGCCAAGTTCTTTGCACGCCTGGATCAGATCGCATCCAACACTGTACATACCGACCCATTTGTAAATGCTAACATTTGTAAGTTCTGTAAATATAACGCCAGGGTTGCCACAGAATTTGGAAAATGAACTTCCCTGACAATTGAAGATGTGACAGACGGTTAAGAAGACATGGTTGAAAATAGTTTTCAGGCAAAATTTGTTGTTTGAAACGTCAAACCCATTCTAGAGAGCGAATAAAGGTGATTTAACAAATTATTCCTGACATTTTCGTTAATTTCCTTAACATTTCCCGGTTTTCCCTGACTTTTCGCGGTATTTCCTGACTGTGGCAACCCTGCATAAACGGGCTAGCTTGACTGAACGCAGAAGTAACAGGTATACTCAAAGCTTGAATTTGTTTTAAAATATTTTGCAGATATTCTTGGAACAACATTTGGAGTCCACCGTCGACACAAAGTTATTACAATAAGATAAACAGTTACAGTCAATTGACGACCGTCAACCCGCTCAACCCTCAACCTTTCACCCCGACCCCCCGCCCTGTTTTTAACTACCAGGGCGCGGTCACGAAAAACCCCAGCTACGACACAAAATATTACGATAAATACTTCACGAAAAAATACGCCACTCCTAGTCCGTACGACATTTTAAACAAGAAATTATACCCGCTGAACAGCCCAGCCCAATCTGTCGGTAAGTTACGATTGCGAAACGAAGCGTGTCGATTGGAACAAAATTGTTGCATTTTGAGGCGAACCGTGGTGGATCAGTAACGGCGCGCTATACGTTTAGAGCGGTTGTAACGTTTTTCCCCTCGCGAAAGAACGTAACTAGATCAATGTTGCCAAATATCACCTCGTTGGTGGAAGATTTACAGGTGCCTGAAATTTGACGGATTTCATGTTTAAGGAGAACTGCTAAGTGAGCTGAGCATGAGAATGCCCTTGGTTTTTAAAATTAACAATACTTAGAGGAGATATGACAAAATGATTTGATCTACCTACTGAAATACATGTGTTCAAATGGGAAATGTCGCCTGCTGACGTCACAAGGCGGGAATTTTCAGACTTTTAAATCTAGTTCTCTACAATTTGCCATATCGGGAAAAATTATGAAAAATCCCTGGTAAAAATTGGCGACAAGAGCTGCGTTTCAAAATACCATAGGAATTCTTATGGCCGGCTGAATAGTCCAGGCAAATAAGCCATGAAAAGGGCCATAGCCTGCAAAAATCCCGGGTAGCAATGTTTTCATCAATTCCCATGTAATTTTTGACGTTGAATCCGAATTTCAACTTTGCGCCATTAAATTCGGACCGGAAAGTTGCCAAATGTGGCAAAAATGGCCTAAAATCGGACTTTTTTCCGGATTATGGCCTGTAACTTGCCAAAAATTGATCTGACGATACAATTAGTTATTTTCAGAAATAAAGCTCGTTAAATTTCCTATAAAAAAGTTCCAATTCACTTTTTTGCTCAAGGCAAAATCAAGCGAGCTGGCGGGCTCCAAACTTTGAAAAATGAGCGAAAATTTGGTTTTTTGCGGGTTATGGCCTATGACTCGTCCAAAATTGATCTAACGACAATTGGGTTGTTTTAAAATAAAAGTTCGTTAAATTTCCCATAAAAAAGTTGCTATACACTTTTTTGCTCAAGGCAAAATTAAGCGTGCTGGCGGGCACCGAACTTTAAAAAATGAACGAAAATTGCGTTTTTTTGCGGTTTTTGCTAAAATCCCGGGGAGTTATACTTTCAGTGATTCCTACGTAATTTTCGACGCTGAATCCGAATTTCAACTTTGCACCATTGAATTCGGACCGGAAAGTTGCCAAATTTGGCAAAAATGGCCTAAAATCGGCCTTTTTTCCGGATTATGACCTGTAACTTGCTAAAAATTGATCTGACGATAAAATTAGTTATTTTCAGAAATAAAGCTCGTTAAATTTCCTATAAAAAAGTTCCAATACACTTTTTTGCTCAATGCAAAATCAAGCGCGCTGGCGGGCTCCGAACTTTGAAAAATGAGCAAAAATTGTGTTTTTCGCGGTTTTTGCCCGATGCCTCCTGTTTTAATCGTCCGACGAGTAATTTCTGGACAAATTAAGTGAAGATGATAAAATTTACACTTAGTGCAATGAATTGATGTAAATAATAAGGATAATCCAACACATTACAGTATGCGCAATTTTCGCACATTTTACAAAGTTCGGAGCCCGCCAGCGCGCTTGATTTTGCCTTGAGCAAAAAAGTTTATAGGAACTTTTTTATAGGAAATTTAACGAGCTGTATTTCTGAAAATAACTAATTGTATCGTCAGATCAATTTTTGGCAAGTTACAGGCCATAATCCGGAAAAAAGTCCGATTTTAGGCCATTTTTGCCACATTTGGCAACTTTCCGGTCCGAATTTAATGGCGCAAAGTTGAAATTCGGATTCAGCGTCAAAAATTACATAGGAATCGATGAAAACATTGCTACCCGGGATTTTTGCAGGCTCTTTTCCTTGTTTGCCTGGACTAGAAGGAGGCTACAGAAAATCATATAGCTGCCTGTAGAATGCGGAGAAAATGATACGGCCGGGCTATACGAAGCGATAAAAAATTATGCAGCCGGGCTATAGTTCCTATCGCCGGGCTTTACACATTATCGCCTGGCTGTTGTTTTTTCGCCATCGATTATAATAGGCTATAAGAAACTGTGTAGAAATTCGTGTGATTTGGAAATCATTAAGTTTGATACGGAACCACTTTAATATTTACAAAACACACATTATATTTTCCTTTAATACATATTTTATTTTCATCAATTAAAATGAGAATAATCCACACAGGATGTGCAAACATTTCAAAATCATGAGTTGGATAACGCTGACTCCGCCAGATTAAATATTAGAGCCTAACTCAAAGCGGAGCGGCGACGAACTGGCGCCTACAAACCTAACTGGGATACTTCACGCATTGCGCAACGCGAGAAGTATCCCTGTTAGGTTTGTAGGCGCCAATGCATGTTTCGCGCTGGCTGCCCGCCTGCCACGGCGCTTGACGCAACTATTTCACACCAGAGGTATTGCACAGTATCATACGAAACTGAAGGCGCTATAATATATTAGTAATGGCAGGCATCCATCAAAAGTACAGAGCTTTCCTCGCAAAATAAATCAAGATACTACGGCCCAAAAAGAAAGCAGTATTCCAAAGACTCACTAAGTCCTAGCATCCGTAATTAGTAACGTTTAGCATACACTTTATCGTCTGGCTGTTGCTTAATCGCCATCGGCTATAAAAGGCGATAAGAAATTGTGTAGCCGTCTATAGAAGCTATTGGAAATCTTACAGCCGGCTGTAGGTCTATGGTATTTTGGAACACAGATTCTACCTCCAATTTTTACCAGGAATACCAGGAACTCAGCTCATCAAGAACTCTCAGGTGAAGCAATAAAATGTTTTCGTGCAAATTCTTCACTGCATTTTTGCAAGATCTCAAGTATTTTCAACTGAAAATTCCACTGATTGTTCTTTGGATCTCATTCAAAAATCGGAAAAACTTTGAGGGAAAATCGCATAGGGGTTTCTTGTAAAAAATTGAATTATTTGAGTCAATATTGCAACTTTGTAATGGAGTTACGTTCATTTGTCCAGGAAACGACGTTTAGATAAGGTCTATATTCCAGTGACGCATGGTATCCATCATTGCACGATTTGGCAACATTACACATGGAATATGATCAGATTTTTAGAAGTCTAACCGTTCTAGAGGTATAGGGCGTTGATCGGTGCCACCAAGAGGGTTATGAGTTCCTTCATGGCTGTTCCACGATTTATAGAACCCTTTCGCACAGAAAGACAGGTTATCTTCTCTTCAGCATCCTATCAAAAATTTGTTTGCGTGCTATGATATTAATCAACTGTTCATGACATTATGACTTCACTATGATGCGAACCACGGCGAACCAGACAAAAACAACTATTGATACATTTTTCAAGGAGGGACCCTTCCAAATGTCCATCTTTATATGCACATGTGTGTATGTGTACATATGTAAAAAGTATACAAATTCAAATTTCTCCAAGAAACGGACCTAACAGACTTACGTGCTTCCAAAAAAAATATTTTTGACGAAAAAACTGACTGCGACTCTCGTCTTTATTCACACAGAGACTTTAAAAATGTTTGAGGGTCAGAGCTGGAGGGTCTTAATGGCACTGATACGTTTCGAAATAATTTATATACATTCTTAAAAAGTAAATTGATCAGTGTTTCAAAGACAGGTTCGTGTAAAATATTAAAAATTCCAGGAATTTTCCGTCAAATCACAAGGCAGTAACCAAAAATTTTAAAGTTAAATTTGAAAACTTTCATCGGTCAATACCTATGGCTTAAGTCGAAAACACGTATCTCTGACTTCAATATTGCAAGTCTCCAAATGTTCAATTTTGAATTCATTTAACGAAACTGATAATCAGATTTTATTGAAATTTTTAGTAAATTTTCACTCATTTAAAAATATCCGCACGAAATTTCAATCCGATGTTATGGTTAATTTACTTTTATTATAAAAATGAAACTTCAACAGGAATTTTGAAAAATTGCATAAATAGAGAAACGCATTTTCCGTATTTAGCCATCAATGAACGCATTATCCAAAGAAACTTCGCAGCGTTGCGATGCAGTTAGCCTCTCTTGCTCTGGTCCCTTCAAATAACGTAGGTCTATAATAATTATGTACAGTAGATACACGTTTTTCCTTTAAAACCTCCGTTGTACATTAACCCCTTTAACTCAATGACGTCCGATTATACGCCACTCACCAGAACAAATTTATCTACAAGGACAAGGTTCAAAAACAACGTACAGTTTTAGTGCAATGTTTTACTTGATGCGTGTTTTTTAAAACTGCTTTGACTTTGTAAGTAATACCGTGCGAAAACAGTTTTAAAATCGACGTGTATGTAGTCGCTTGGAATATTTGGTTGATACGTGTTTTTTACGAACTACTTTGTAGATGGATTCGTTCTGTTGAATAACATCCAATTGGACTACATTTTGCAATCAGGAACTACAATTTCTAGCTCATCGATAAAAACACTTATGGGCTTAGGGAAACCAAAAGTACACACACTGTTTCTAAATTGAGCCAGAAATTGTAGTCTCTAATTGCAAAATGTAGTCCAATTATGCATGGGTGCGTGCTGTCTTGTTCTTTGCGCCTCAAAAGTAGTGATTAGTTTCTGATTAATTGTGCTCCATGCTTTGATTATGTTTTGCTTTACGCGTGCAACGGTGGCTTAAACAAATGTTTTAGATTTAGCTTCTTAACCGTTAGACTTTATTCGTTTTATTCGTTTTGAAGTATAATTGCTATCGTGATGAAAACACGTCTGATGATTGTCGGAGAAGAAAAAATTTGAGAAAAAGATGCGAGACGAAAAAAATGCCAAATCCGGAGCTGATGCTGACAAAAGAGGAATTTTTTTTAAAAATTGTAAAAAGAACTTTAGTCTACCGCTGGAGAGTAACTTAACCACGCTTATTAAGGTCGACCCGACTAGAACGTCAATATGGGTTTTATTTATAGAACTGAATGCTGACTGGATACGCGTGCGGTAGGTAAATGGAATCGAATAAATGCATGTTTAACAACTAACGATTTTATATTACTTTCTGTACATAAATAACTATGGGGTGGTCTGGAAAATGAATGGATGCTTGCGATGCATGTTTTTATTTGCAGGAAAAAACTTAAGATCGAAATTCTGTAAAATAAAGGTGAGACTCCTGACTGGGCCAATCAAGATAGCGATTGAATAAAGTTACATTTCTTATGTTGTTGCGACAGTCAAATAGCTGGAGACTGGCGAATTGCGTCCAAAATTTTCTATTCCATCAGCTTTTTAAAACATAATGTAAAAAAAGGGGGGATGGTAATTTAAAAAAATTCGAATTTCCCGCCACTACCTCGGCTGAAATTGAAAAGTTGCGGGGCACGAGGGGGCTCCTTTGAAATCCCAGTTGTTTTCCCTGATGTCGGAGCTGGAAAGAGAGAGAAAAAATAAGTTTTTTGTGAAAGTGCAACCGTTTGGCCAAGTAAACCTGACGTAATTCGGCCAACGCATTCAACCATCCGGTATGGTCTAGTGGCTAGGATACCTGGCTCTCACCCAGGAGGCTCGGGTTCGATTCCCGGTACCGGAAATAACTTTTATTGCTGCATGTCTGGACGAAAAAAGCAACATTTCAAGGTTGGCAAACTTGTATGCTTGCACTAATATCCTAGAATTTATAAGTAGATTCGTAATTAAATAATTTATTTGGGAAACCGTGACCGTGCACGAGAGAAATGACAAGAGCCAGTGACCGGGCGTGAATGATCGATTATCGATAATTCCCTATTTGAAGCTATGGGAAAGAATCGATTCTCATGGTGTTCGTTGCGAACACCCTGTCGATCGGTACTTTCCCATGGGTTTAGATTGCAAATCAATCGATATATCGCAAAGCACGCCACGCAACTGGACAGAGATAACCACAGTTCACAAAAACTTAAAAAGTTATTGACGCCCAAGCATTGAGGAGTGACCTGCACACAAGCATGCGTTTAGAGAAAGACTTGAACTGGAGCGTTCGCAACTAAGTTTTTAGTTTTACACGGTAGGCTGATTATTGAAATCAGCCTAGAGCTGCTACAGCCAAGGAAAATAAAGGGAGAATGCAGCGATCTTATTGGTGGGAGCAGGCGGTTGCAATGGACAAAGGAGGTAAGCGATAGACTAACTTACGGCTACTTATGAGGAACCTTGTAGTTAATCCATCATTTTCCCACTTAGTCTATAGGAACCAACCGATTCAACCAATAGGATCGCTCCATTTTTCCGTCGCCTTCTTTGCCTATCGCTTTGTCTATCAAATTCAAGAATCGGCCCGCAGGAGAGTTTTCTACTGCAGTCGACGTCGATTTATTGTAATTATTGAACGAGGAATTGCAGTAAATTGCGATCTTATTGCGTACATATTTGCAATAAAATTGCGATTTTGTTGGATTTTGAATTTGCGATTTTATCAACGTCAATTTATCGCAATATTATCGGACAAAAAATCATGCTAAATTGAGTGAGAATTCCGATTTCGTCGAACGCGATTATACAGCGGTAAAATTGCGACAAGATTGAGGATGATCGCTCACATCGTCACCTTCCAGGCAAAGTATCACAAGCGCCATGCGACGTTTAAAAATTTCCGCCGCCATTTTATTTCTTTACTGAGAAATTGTTGGTTGAATCTATTGGGAAATTTCACTAAATTTTGTCGGCAGCACAAAGAAAATTCAGTGAAATTTTCGGACAGCTTTGTTGAACAATTTCTCTGTAAAAAAATAAAATACCGGCGGAAATTTTTAAACGTCGCATGGCGCTTGTGATACTTTGCCTGGAAGGTGACGACATGTTCATGATCCTAGCGATTTAATCATCAAAAAACCTTGAAAAAATCGCAACTAGATTTCAAAATATCGCGATTTTCCCTTTAAAAATGCCGCTTGGGATATTAGGTGGTTTCTTTGCTAGCCGTGAAAAAATTCTGAAATTTTGATTGTTTGTTTTCCCCCCTCTCGCAGGAGACGGCGACACTGAGTGCGTGGATCGGGCTGTGATACCGGGATCACTCTCTTGCTACGACTTCCTGGTGAAGAACGGCTTCCACTACTGCGCCTACGACTACATCAAACAGAACTGCTGCGCCGCCGTCAAGTACGTATGCAACCGGGCATACACGCCCGGGCGGCGGCGGTAGCCTTCCATCCTGAGGCGCAGGATAGCCGAGCACGAGGCTTCATCGATGGCGATTCTTGCGACACTCTTCTCCTTCCATTTAACTCCGTTAAAAATATCGATTCTAGGGGAGGCAGCTTCCCTCACTTAGGATCGATTGCTTTACACGCATTTAAATCGAGGGAAAACCAATGCAAAGAGTTGCGCTTGATAATTAAAACCGCATGGTTTTTAGTCGAGAGGCAAAAACCTCATCTTGTAATGTTACTTGTCTATAGACATTATTCGACAACCTGTCGATTAAATGGGGCAGTAGACGAGGTGCGAACTAAAGCGCTTAGTTACATGTGATCACTTCAGAATTATACGTAGAAAATGATTCACAAAACAGTAAATCACAAAATCAGCTTCTACAAGCGACACAAGAGTGTACATGCCTTATGATTAACACGAATCAAATTTTAAAAGTACAAATTATGTCATCTGTGTAAATTTTAGTTAATTTTATCCGCGGTGTCATAAATACATGTTAAAACCAGTGGCTTCTGAGTTTCAAACTTCCCGTTGCGTGAACTGCATTCTACGTAACATTTTGAAGAGGATTCGTATGAAGTGCCCAGTAATTAAATTCATACCTTGCCTGGTAGCCGATTTCAACCGTCGATCCTTTGTAAGGCTAAACCAAGAAAATATCAAGGCGATTGAAGCGTTGGCACCCACTCAGTAAATCGATATTCGTACGATGTTGCAGCAACCATGGCTGCAACATCGTTGAAATCATGTTGCAGCAACAATGGCTACAGCATCCCATCACTATCGCGCCAATGCCCGAAAACAAAAACTTCCATTTGCCACAATTTTGTTCAACTGCGTTTGCAAAAGCGCTAGTGCCACCATTTCACTTGCCTTGAGAATAAATGGGTCGACTACTCTTGTCTGCGTCACAGTTCAAATACATCGAACAGGATCCAACATTAAGGCTAAATTAATGAACCAACCAGGTTCTGACTTAGTCAATTTGGATTCAGTTCGACAGTAAATGTGATGCCTGGAAGAAGAAGATCAGTATTGTTACAGCTCCAAGCCCTGGCAAACAGATTGGAGGCTCCAGCAAGTAGATGTGGATTGGTTATTGGAGGAATTACAGAAAAATTAAAAGCGAGCTACTGATTATGCGAAATAAATGATGAAAAAATCGGGCATCGCCGATGATACCGATAAGACCCCAAAAACTGGACAGTCGACTGATTGTGAGATGCAATCTTCCTACGTTTGAAATGAATCGGAATTTTTTTTTAGCTGAGTCCCGATTCATGGATCTACTCAAGTTTAAATTTGACATCAGTCATGGCCAGAAAAAAAAAATTACTTCGAGCTGTAATTTTATTGTTCTATTTGCTCGCAATCATTGTCCATTTCCATGGACTAAAAGATTTTATCGAACTTGAGACTCCACCTTTTCGACAGTTTTTACATCATTGAAAGTTATGAGAGGGGAAAAGATAATGACACAATCGGGATTTTGGTGGATGGAAGACTCAAAGACAAAAACCTGCCAAGATACTGACGAGTGGAAACTGAGACCTGTAGCGGACAGGCTTCCGGTATCTGACATTGATGCTGTTAAAGGTGGAGTCACAGGGTTTGATGGATAAAGCGAGATTTGTCTTAAACGTGACGAACACAGCGTGCTTGTAAGAGCGAAAGTAATAGGCTATTTTTGAAAATAAGCTTAAGATGGGGATGGAAACCAAAATCTTAGGGAGTCTTGCGATACATTCGTGAAAAAAAAAAAAAATTCCTGTAACACCTGTAGGTATAATGTGTCGATTGAGAAATTGAGAAAATTGCTCAACAGCTTCTGGCAATCCTGAACAGATTTTTGTTACTTGGTTTTATAAACATCAAATGTTTGCGTTAATATGTTGCCAAAAGCTGTTCATGACAAACTGTTCAAGTAATGATATGGAGTTGTGTCACCAAAGTAAGTGTCTATATACTGGCACCCTAGAAAAAAACTAGGTGCGTATCTCGGTGCTTATGAGCGGTGCCTCTCACAATCAGTAGTAGAGGAAAATTGCCTTCATTCAAGGGATATGAGACAAAACGAGAAAAATTGTTACCGTATAGATAATAATTGTACCTGATCCTACATACTTAAAAAAAAATGATGGTTTTGGATAAACTACTTAATTTTATGAAAGACCATTCTACAATCATTGCCAATGTCAACTGCCGATTATTACACTCATGTACATTTTCATAACTGATCTAGACCAATCGACTTGTCTGGTATAATCGAGTACTATGCACAAAGTTCGGTTGAGATTAAATTCTTATAGATGACCGTACTTATGGAATAAATAATTGAACGATGAAATTACATACAAAACAAGAAGAAGAAGAAGGAGAAGAGAAAAAAGCTTCAGAGGGACAGGAAGAAAACTATTCCATTGAATCTTGGTTATTCAGCAGTTCATGGAATGAACCAAGAAGCTGCAAGCAGCCAAATTGTCATTAATTTTATGTTACCATTATAATCACTGAAACAACATCACTTTATAGTAAGCGTTGTTGTCTATGAATTAATATTTAAAAAAATATGTATTTTTTATTTTCATTTCCATTGTCGGGTCAAATGTGACTTGGGAATTATTGTGCCCTGACATGCAGGATAAAACTACTTGTTTATGATAAAAACTAAGTAAGGTTCCAAAATTTCTGAACAGGTGGAACGATTCGAAAGCATTATCATCGTTTTCATGCTGACGATCATCACTAAAGAAAGATTAAAAGTTTAAAATAAAATGTATTCTTTCTCCCTATTAAAAATTCATGTAGGTAATGGGCCTCTTTCTTCAATAGGGATCTCCTCTTCATCACATATAAGTCACATCACACTTTCGTGAATTTATGCAACAAAACTAAAAGTAACAAAGAGATATTTAAGAAAATTAAGTTTTCTCTCCTAAAAAACTTTTTAATCATGCGTTTCGTTTTGAAAGGTTTTGATTTAGGTCTCTTTTATAACCACTGATTTTAATTTCCTTTTATCCTTCAGATAAAAATTTCTTTGTATCATTTCTTTACAGTTAAAAAAAAAAATGGATGATAGGAAGAAATAGTTACGACAGAACGAGAAAAAAATTAGTTTGTCTGAATCACTTTGTTCAAGGCTTACTTCAAAACAACAAGAATTGTATTCACAGGATAGTTAAAGTAAAAAAAAACTGATCCCTAATGAGCAGTATAGGTAATACTAAAAAACAGTAAAAGAAATGAAGTGGTCTTAAAAAGTCGGACAATGTGCAGAACACAAGGGGTGAAAACACTGATCAAAATTAAAGCCAAAACTAAAAAAAATCCGTTTGAATGCATAGATTAATGAAAGAATCAGCGTCTGGGTTGACACTATACCGAATATCGATGACTGTGAAAATACCTAGATTTACAAGAAAATAAAAGGTGCTTCAGAAATTTCACGACTCAATGGAGTTGTATTATAAATGCGACAGGCTAACTTTAAGTTACTGTGATAGATTGTACATTGATGTAATTAATTTTTGTAAAAACAAGTGAGAAAAAAATAGGTTAATTTAAACAAAAATAAGAAATTAGTGAAAAAAAATACTAAAATACAATAAAAAAATTGAAAGCAAAAATATTGTTGTTTGTTTTCTCATTATTTATTTAAGTACCATTTCTTCCCTTTTATTGACTCAAAATGTAAAAACATCTGGTCTCTTGGATAAACCCGTGAGGACAGCAGTTACTTAAAACACATGTCTTAAAACTCATTTTAAGTACGTAGGTAACAGTTTAAAAATTTTGGCTTGAGAGGGCATACATCTAAGTAACCAAATATGTACTACTGAAACTAATTTTTAGTACAATTCAAATATTTGATGGATGGAGTAAGAGTTGAAAGGCCTTTAAAACACATTGACTATTGACCTGATTTTGATGCATGTTTTAGTTACCTCCTACTGTTCTTGTGATAGTGTGATATCACTATGTTTTAGATCCGTTTTTTTTAGTTTCAATTGACAATTTCTGATTTAATTTACACTTCAACATTTTTTGTGCTGAAAAGCATGATGTAGTCACCTTTCAAAGCCTAATTGTTCAGAGCAAGTCGAGTAGAAGGGATCAGCGGACTGATTGTTGAAATTGATTAGACAAAGCTATGACAAAGAAGGCAAAAGGGACGTGGAGGGATCCTATTGGTGGGTAGTTGCAATGGACATAGAAGGTAGGTTATAGACTAACTACCAGCAACCCACTAAAGACCCTATTGTTAGTCCATCATTTGCCCCCTTAGTCTATAAGAATTACCCATTTCGACCAATGGGGTCTCTCCATACTCCCGATGTCTTCTTTGTCTATAGTTTTGCCTATCAATTTCAACGATCAGCCTGCAGCTTCTTTCTGCATAATAAAGATTCTGAGGAAGGAGAGAGAAATTTAAATTATGAAAAGAATAACACTGGTTCCAAAGAATATAAGTTGTATTAAGTGTAGAAAATTAAAAAAAAATCATGTTGCACTTTAAAGGACAGTCTTAGAAGAGTATAAGTGGTGCAGAAAATATGTTTACCAGTGAAAAAGAAAAACTCAGTAAAACCTTGTTCCTTTGAAACACTCATAAAAAACAAGTCTGTCTTGAGGACGCCACACAGAAATCACAAAAAAAAAAAAAAAAAAAAAAAAAAAAAAAAAAAAAAAAACAATAAAAACAGAATCTACAGGTGGGAAACTGGGTCATGGACATTCAAAAATTCAAACAGGTTTGTAGGGTACAGAACAGCGGTTAGGCAAACAATTCCTTGCGAAAATAAAATGCACCAATAAAAAAAATCACTTTGATAGGGCAAGAATTGACAGACTTCTGCATTTACTTCTAATTGCACATATCAGTCTTGCGACGCAGGGACTGAACTGCTTCACCAGTTCAGAGATTTGGAATGACATCAACCGTTTGAGCGAAGAGTCAAAAGGAGATCTTTAAGGATTTGAGCGTAGACTTGCGGATACATAGTGTGAAGATTACAAGTGACACATCAATGTGCTGAAAAACTTCCTGAGTTGACAGAGAATGAAGGAGTGAAAAACTACTGAAAAATGGGTGCATTCTACTCTCGAACTTTCTGGACATCCGTAAGTCCAGCTGCCCGAGCACCGAACCTCAAAACCATGGCCACACTGAAAACAAAACCAAAAATGAAACAAAAAACAAAGCATATGAATGGATAATCCTAAGGGTTAGAGCATTCCAGATAGGTAGCTTTTACAATACCTAAACTATCAGGTGAACGTTGATTACTGAAAGAGAATCAATTTTATTCAGAAACATAAGATATGTCTGATGAAAGCTGTTGTCAGAATTTCGGATTTAATTTCAATAAAACAATTTTTTACAAGAATTTCTGCTAAAATAATTTTAAAGTTAATTTTCCCAAACTTGGTACCCCCAAAAAAAAAAAAAAAAAAAAAAAATTAATCTGAAAAAAATGATTTGTCTAAAGCGCTTCATTAGTTAGAACCTCTTAGTTATTCCATTACATAGCTAAGTTAAATCCTAGAGAGGGACCAAGTTCATGTTGACTTGCATTATTTCTTGTGGAGAATCCTGCAAACCAATTACTTGTAAACTCCCCTTAATGTGAAATACATGGATTCCTTTCATTTAACAATGTTCAGTCTCAAGTCAATGCTTCAGTGTGGAGAAAAGTATTGTAGCTTATAAAATTTGTGATTATTTGACATAATCTTCATCTATCACAATGCAACATCAATCTCAATAGACCATAAGGAGCTCCTGAGGGGAAGGCTACTAAGCAATATTTTGATACTACTTCATAATTTGTTTTCAGTGAGACAAAAGAGTAATTCATTATGCAAGCGAAAGGACTTTTTAGTAATAAATCACAGTGTTAAGAGGGTCAAAGCTCCGACTGAAGCAGTAAAAAACTGAAACAGAGCTCTGCCGTTTGAGCAAGAAATTGGGTACTTAAGCAAGACAGAGCTTTCATAATTTGCAGTTTGTTTTTTGGCCCCTAGACCAAACTGATTGCCCACTGCCTATTGTGACCACTGACCAACTGCAGAACTGATGAACTTTCTCTTGTCCAAGTATCCAACTTTTTGCTCACACAGTGAACTTCTGTCCATTTTCCCCTTTTTCTTTTGGGCCTACAGGCCATCCTCTTGACTCCCTGGTATAAATAACTGACGGACACAGGAAATGGTTTCACACTTTTCCAGCCAATGACAAGCACTTAAAGGGGCTTTTTTCTTAAATTGAAATTTTGCAGCCTTTCCAGGCTGAATTTTAGGTCAATGAAGCCAGAATGGCAGTGCAATGGTCGCCTAGATGAGATAAGTAAAGCATGATATGACACGTTTCCTCATGAAAATTTCACCCACAAATTACAAATATTTAAAAATCCAAAATAAAGTCCTGAGTGAGTATTGATGTAGGTGTAGAGGACTTCAGTTTTGTAACAAGAGGGAGACTGCTGATTCCTTTCTGATGGATTGAATTAGGTAATTTTGAGAAAGAGTATCCACTCTGTTCTGCATGAAATTTTGTAGTGAAACATATGTTCAGATGCTAAATTGTTTTATAGATTCTGGGGGTTTGAAGGACCTGATTCATTTCAAAAAGTTTAAAACAATTCCAATTTCATGTTTTCATCTGATTCAGAGTAACATTGGAGCTTGTCTGCTCTTATAACAGAGTTCTGTCTTCACCGTGGCTGATGCATAAATGGTCATAAAAAGCAGGTTTTGATATTGAGAGATGAATTACCAAACATAACATCTTTGAAATTGATGAGAGTAATCCTGATTTATGTTGTAGGTATACATACTTGCTCTTTGCAAAATTTAGCTCTCCAGTATCAAACAACTTTATGAATCTTTGAGAACAAACAAAAAATGAATTTGGATAACTTTTAGAAATTAGGCTTGTCTAGAGATCAATGGTGAGAGCCAAAAATGGGAACAGAAATTATCGTTTTCCATTGTTCTTAGAGGTACTAGAGCGGAGGCATCGTATGTTGAGACAAAAGTCAAGTATTGTTTAAGTCACCACTTATCAGTGGTGCCATCTGACTGCATGCATTAACCTGTTGAGTGGTGCTGATTCAGAGATAATCAGAGATTGACATTTGTCTCAACATACGATGACTCTGCTCTGGTAATGTTTGTTAAGTTTGAGGACATTTTTATCTAACTTCTAAAGAAAAGCAAATAACCATTCCTTAGAGAGTTCTTGTGTCCATGAGTAAGGATGTTCCTACTTAAAACCCTAGGTTCCTCCACCAAGTGGCTCCTACAATATCAGATTTCAGTTAATACAAGGTCTTAGGGTAACTATCTGAGTATTATTTACGTTTAGCGAATAAATGTTTTTAAAAATGTTCAGAAGCAATACCTGAGAACACAAACTAATCCAGCCGGCATGAATTTTCCTCCACTGACCCAACGGTAGCCCATAACGCCACCTAGAACGGCACTGGTTCCAAGAATGGGCCAATAGTTATTGGGATTTCTTGATGTCAGAACTGCTCCAGCAAATAATACGCCTCCAAACAACAGTCCAGCACTAAGCGATGGTATACTGTCTGTAAGGAGAAAATTGGAAAAAGAGAGGATTCGATATAAATAATACTCGCTCTAAATTTGATATGATAATTGAAGATCAGCGTGAAGAAAAGGACAAACGTTAAATTAAGACCGAGAAAAATGTTAGATGTGTCAAAGGACTCAAAATAAAAAGTCAATTTGAGCCTTTCAAGGATTTTTTGCAGAAAAAAATCCTGCTGGCTGAACTTAAAAAATTCAACTTAATTTGCAAAATTTGGGTTGGTTCTCTCCAAGTGAACTCGTTCTAAATTATCATTGTGAAGCTGATGAAAGTTCAAAGATGCATAGGTACCTCGAAAAACAACATTGCATATCTTCCTATCGTTTTCAAATAATACTTTCTTACTATTCAGCGCTTTCAGAAAATGTTGAATAAGAATTTCAGATAATAGGTCGCACAGGTATCTCTTTAACCGTAAAATTTATGTTTTCTAAAATGCGTGAATTTTAAAACGGTCAGGTTGAGATACAGCTTACAGAGCACTATCACCGACATTATAGGATACTTTCCCGTGTTCCGGAATGTCACGGAATTTCTGATTTTCGCCAAGGCCTCCGTGCTTCAAAGGTATTGAAAGGTATTCTAATTGAATTGTTGAATGTACCAGAATTCAGAAAAACTTACTTGCTTTCACATATCCCATGATACCACCTCCAGCAACAGTGGCTGCATAGGCAAAGCTGATCCAGTCGATAGCCATGAGATCATCCACTAAAGGCATTGCCTACAATTAAAACACAATAGAATGAATGGTGCGGTGTCAATGTATCTAAAAGGAAAAGTCACTGCGCGACGTGGCGTGCGAAGCTAAAAGCAGTCAAAAATTCAATTTAATATTCATTAATGTAAATTCAAGACCAACGGAAAGATCGTTAGCGAAGGGCGCCGCAGGACAGATTGCAGCCACGATCAACACGATATCTTTACCTAACCTCAAAACTAGAAAAACAAATATTGCGTAATCACGAGTCTTCGGCAATCTTCGGCATTCTCCGGTCGGAATCGCACGAGGGAGGCGTGGCGCGGGGTGACGTTTGTTGATAAATTGAGAAATTCACGATTCACTGATAAGAGCACTCTGAACTGAAGTACAGTTCATGTGAATCGCTCTGGGAAACACGGGTAAATTATCGCGCGAATTTAATCTTGGAAAAATTAACGAAAATGTCTGGGAAACACCAAAACTCGCCGGACCGAATTGCGATTCATACGGGAAATTTGCTAAATTTTAACACTTTGAAAATTCGTGCAGGACAAACACCAAAAGATGAGGTTAGTTTACATTTTGTGTTTACCAAGGATACATAGTTTCCATAATGAGATCATCATGATTTATTTAGTCATGTGTCATGGGCAGCTTAGATTAAACTCCTTCCACGCATGTTAACAAGTTCAGAGCATAATTCACGAGTCATCGATTTTCCTTAAAACTCGAGCCAATTTCAAGGAAGTTTGTTAACAGTTGTCACGATACGCTGGAAGTTAAATTTCATCAAACTTAATCGGCCTTCTTAACAACCACTACATTTTGGAGATAAGCAAATCCTACTCTTGACTGGAATTAGGAATACCAGGCCCACTGGCCACAATTTTAAGAAAAGCCCTTCCCCCCTCTTTGAGCATAATTAAACATTTCTGTGTTGAAAAAACTTATTTTTTAAGTCCTGACATCCTTCTTTCAAACATTTAGTTGATTACTTAATGATCTGGGAAAGTGAACAATTCTTTTGAGGAATTATCCTGAAGTTGGCTACGAAGAAATACCCTGTTAATAGCTTCAAAATGAAAGCAGTTCAAAATAAAAATAATATTTTGCTTAAAGGACAACATGAAACTTGAAATTTTCATCCTCTTTAACAGGAATTTCATTTCAAAAGATCCTGCTTCATTCTAAGGGGACAACTGAATTTAAAAATTGAAGAGGTCCCTTATGTAAGCGCTCAGAGGAGACAAACTGTAGTGGAATGTATTTCTAAGATTCACAAAGGAAATCTGTGAATTTTGTCTCTACAAAAATTAACTTCATACTATTAAGAGTACGAACAAATTCGTTACTTCCATCAATGCAAGAATAACAACTGGAACATGGAAAACTTTCTGAAAATTAAAAATAATACTTAAAGCTGTGCAAGATTTTAAAATTTAAATAAAATTAATGAACAAATACAAATAATTAAAAATGATTAGCCTCAAAGCTTCAGAGTTTTAAAGATATCATGCTGGAGCAATCAAGCCCTACTTGCACAGCCTGCAGTAAGATGTCTTTCTTACAGATTAAAAAAAAACAGGCGAGAAAAATGTCGGTTGCTTGATTCAAATTCCAGGTAAAATTCAGACAGCAGCAGCAGAAATTTCTTTCTCTCAGAAACTTATTGGTGTATTCAGAACTTTCATCGGAAGTTTAAAAATTGTTTCAAAATTTTTAGGAATTTTTCAAATTTTTATAAAAGTTTTTGAATTTTTATGTTAATTTTGAGACAGTGACACTGTGTTATCTCATGGCAAAGATCCCTGTAAAGTTAAGAGAATTTAGTTGAGAATATTTCTGCACCCTTGTTTATAAGTACCAAAAAATCCCAGGGAACAAAACCTCTCCCTAGCACTACAGAAAAACAGAATTCTTCCCAAGTGAAGCTGCTATTAATGCTAGGACTCATGCCTGCATAAAGATAATTTTCCTATTCTATTTGTAAGGCACTGACCATGATAAGTTGGTATCTCTTCTTTGACTCTTAGTTTAAAACCTTTCCAAGTAAAAAAATAAATACAAATCTAAGAAATCAAGTTGCAGGCGCTCTCTGTTTTTCTATCATGATCAACAATAAGCTTGGTTGTGAATTCATATTTTTTATCTGTTTCAGCTGCTAGAAAGCTTAAATCTAGTTATTTCAAAACCAGAGACTCGGAAAACCACAGAAAATGTAATACAAGTGGATGGTGGAAGTCCCTTGGATGGCGTTGATGATCCTGAAGAACGAAAGGACTTGAAGACAAGTTTGAAACTATTCCTCCCTTCCTTTAAACCTGAAGCAATACATGAAGCTCTTCAAAGTGGTACGAGATTGTACAATCAACCCGCAAAACTAGAGAACTTAGCAATTAGGCTACAGAAACTTATGGAAATGAAATTGAATCTAAAATGTCCTGCAGTCATCATTATATGACTTTCACACTGAAGAAAAATCCAGTGGACCTTTGCAAGAGTTTTGTACTTTTTTCTTTTTTGTTCAATGTAATTATCTATGAGGTTTCTTCAGAAAACACCTGTCACTGTTAGATTACTATCTTTTATCACTGTTACTATTATTTGGCACAAAGGTCAAGAAACAACTCTCATCTTGCAAAAAAAAAAAAAAAAGAAAGAAAAAAGAAGAAAACACCCGATTTTTAATTTTTCATCTTTAATGCAAAGTTTGTACCTAATTGCACAATAATTTTTCCTACAAATTAGTCACAACCCTGCTTTCTCTTTCTTTCAGCCTTAGGTGCCCTTGGAAGTCAAACAGTCGACTCCCTGGTGATCGCATATAATGATAGGAATGGTCCTAAAAATTTCCTCTCAAATCTGGAAGCTCTATGGAAAATATCTGAGGAATACGTTCAGAATGGGAAAATTCTTAGGATTGGGCTGTGTGACCTTGACACTGAAGATTTCATCACTTTCTACAACAACGTGGCGGTAATAATAATACACTGCTATCTTTCATGGAGCAAAATGCATTAAATTTTCATCCAAAGAGACGAAGCCACCATTTACCTAGATATCTCAATGTCTTATAGAATAAGATCCTCCAAAAATAGAAAAATTTAATCACAAAAATATATTCAAGAAATGAGGTCGAAAGTCCGAAATTTAGCAGTAGCTATAGTAGGAATAGATCCCTTTTTATATCTACTATAGTTAATACCGATTGTGGCGTCCTGTAAATTTTAAAAAATCTAACTAGATGAAGACAGCTTGCAGTTGTTGCGATTACTTTAAATAGATGAAATTTTAAACACAAATTTCAAGTAAGTAGGTTAAAAAATTCCAAACCTTGGAATAATTTGAAATTTAAAAGCCTTCTTGTATCCTTGTTCGGGTGATAAGCAGCTATTTATAGAGTATTAATGAAATTACTTCAAATTTTTTCCTAACAACAAAAAGTTTTTCCATTCTAGATCAAACCAAGTATAGTACAAATCAATTTATCTGCCTGCTGTGTGGTCCCTCCCCAGCTGCAGGAATTTACCAAACAGCATGATATTCAACTTTTGACTCACAATGATCCTTTGGGTAAGATTACAAAATTACAAAGGCTGAACGAAAAGTAATGCACACCCTTAGATACGTACATGAGATAAATCAGATAATTTGTCCTAATCTAATAATTATTTTAAAGATGCATATGTAATTGCCCTCACTTCCAGCCGGGTGGTTTTCATGCACCGATTCTGAATTATTTACGGGTGTGCATTACTTCTCATTCAGCCCCAATACATATGTTTTAATATTTTTGGTGTGTCCTCATTTCATTTTACGTCCCGAATCTAATCCATCATGAAATGATAAGCACTTAAAAACATGGATCTCCAGGTTGAGTTGGAGAAAAAATTAGAAGTCGAAGAGATGGATTTTTAAATACTTCCATAACCATGTAAAAATCCTCTTTCATCATTGTTTAGGAGCATCTTTAAAATTTGCTACGCCACATGCATCTCACCGATAGTATTTGCTGTCCTGCTTGCATCGCTGAATTTTAATTTTTTTTCTAGGCACGACCTAGTCGCACCCAAAAATCATGTTGCACTCTGCCTCTATTGGAGGTTGAAATAATACTTGAATGATCATGAAATTTTGTTTTCACTTGTTTAGTTTTTACTCATTCATATGAATAAATACAAGGACATCATCATTTCATCAATCTGTGAAAAGACGGTGAGTGAGAAGATCTTGCAATTACATGTTTAAGAGGAAAAAATGTTTTTCATTCATCCACCTATTGTCAAGAATTTTTAAAAAGTCGCTTCTTCAATTGCAACAAATGAAAAGTATTTAAAATGATTTTTTTTCTTTTCTTTTCAGATATTCTCACGGACGAATTATTTTCCCAGCTTTTCAAATCGACCGGGATTGAATGCCGTGCTTCATTAAGTTGGGTAGTTAGGTATCAGATTCATGTAAAATGTCGCGGTGTGCTATGTAGCAAGGGTTATTTCATAAGTGCTCAAAAAATCTAGTCTACTACTTGTTTATTTACTAATAATACTTTTAAGATTTTTTATACAGACTTGAGGAAGCTTTAATATTCAAACTTGCCTATACTTACTAGGTTGTACATGTACCTCTCTGGATCACATCACAAATTAAAAAAGGTCCCGAGTAGCCTAAGAGGTAAGAGGAAAGGTTAGAACTCATACTGACTTAGTTTTTCAACTTTTGGATGTAGGATGAAAGATGAGAAATCTAAAGCCTGGCCCTAAAAGTTGAAAGAGCATTTGTCCTGACTCTAACAAGTTATTCGGCTGAATGGCAGTTGAAGACTTGAACCGGTGAATCTGGTATATCAAAGGGCTAAAGTTGAAAAATGCATCACTCAAATTGCAATGTAAGTCTGCTCATGTTTTATTTCATTGAAGAGAATCTGAACAACAGTTTCTTTTGAAATTTTCTTTGCGCATTTTAAATAAATCACACTAACTTACAAGGGATCATTTCAATTAATTTCCCTTGAAGAAAATTGAACAAAATCAGAGATTCTTAAACATTTCAATTCGAGCACAAATCTGTTACGTTGAGGGTCAGTCCATTGTAACGGGCCGGACAACCGCACGCCTTTGAGTAATAAAGAAATGAATTTAAAATCACATAAATTTAAAATAAATTGAACCAGTAGATAGAGCTCAGTGTGTTATTTCCAAAAGTGTACGAACTTACTTTTTTGTTTTAATTTTTAAGGGAGTTATACCAAAAATAGAGCCGTAACGGGACGGACAGTTTTTGGAAGTGAGTTTTGACTCCCTTGAGAAAATTGAATAACTCAGCGAATTTTACCATGTAAAAAATCCACAAAAAATGTATATAGTCCTCAAGGGTTCAAGGTACTATGCTATTTAAACTAATTTTCATAAGTATTGAATTAAGCATAAAAAAAATTGAAAAATCTGCGTAACGGGACGGACAGCATTTGTAACGGGCCGGACAGAGTACGACTGACACATGGTTTTACGGCTGAAAGTCATCTGTATATGATCATACATTGGTCCAATTTTTTCTATGCATTAATTTAAGGTTCTGACTGATTAATTTAGATAGATAAAATGCAATTTTTTGTTGATTTTTATTTTTTGCAGCTTGTAGAAGTAGTAGCAAATTGTACATACCTATTGATTTTTTACTCTTTTCCCGAAATTTCAATTATTTTGATTAATTTTCAACCCACAACACTCAATCCTTTAGTTATTAATACGATTTTGTTAACTTGGAAACAAAATTATGAGCATAATAGTCACAATAACACTCGTAACGGGTCGGACACTTTTCTCTTAAATCAATAACTTGAACTGTTACTCGCTTAAGAGCGACAGTTCATTAATGCAGTTACTTAAATTTTGAACGCTATCATTATAAGAGTCAGAACCTACTTTTTTCCTTTACTTAGTAGTTATTCTTTTTTTGTTTTTAAATAAATAAAGCAAAATAAAATGAACTCTTTATCCCCTGGAAGCCGAACGCTTTCTTTTCTCCGAGTTTCTTTGATAACAGTTCCAGCTCCCCATCCACCTGCACATAAATTTTATTACTTATTAGGATATGAAAATGATTTTAAAACAGTTAAGATTTCTTTTAAATCAAAATTTGAACTTTATTAATGTTTTACTGGCAGAAACATCAAAGAAAATAATAATAAAGAAACAAAAGCTCGAGGAAAAATAAATAGTAACTAGTACCAAAAATAATAATAATAATAGTAATACTTCAATGGCACGGTGTGAGTATCAAATAAATGAGAAGTTATACTATGTCTAAACAAATATAGGAATAAATGGAGTGGGCGGAACAGAAAAACTTGAGTGTTTTTAAATTTTGTTTCGAAACGTAAACGGTGGATTCAAAAGTTTCAAAACTTTTTAGTGGTTGTCGCTTGAATAAAATTGTCAATATAAATAGTGAAAATTGTGAACAGAGGTTGAAATTTTATCTTAAACGTAGTAGACAAATAACTAAAAAAAAGAATTGCATTTAAGGCAATAAAAAACAACAAAAAAATGAAAAAAAAAATTCTGTTCTGCTCTTTTGCGGCGCTTCCGTTCTGCATCTTTCTTCTTAACAGCCTCCGCATCTGATGGATGATTTTTTAAATATTCTCTTCTTTGCTGTTTCCTAATCTTGTCTCTCAGCCTTTCTTTAGCCAGGTGGGCTTTATAGGCAGCTGGGTCCTCTTTCAATTTTCTGCGGTGCTTCTGCATCCGGTTTGCAAAAATGTCCATTTTTTAAAACCTGAAACAACAAAATTGCTTTAAAATCCAAGAAAGTGAACATTTTGAGGTTTTTAAGTACCTCCTAGGTCTAATAAGGTTCTTCTGATGTTTCTAATACAGCCCTTTCACAATCCTGAAAATTAGAACCCACTGTGCCCATAAATAGCGAAGTTCAATACTTGTCCGGCCCGTTACGTAACGGGACGGACACATTTTAAGTATGTTGTTTTCAACATCTCACAAGGTATAAAAATTGAAAAAAAATTGAGGAGAACCTGAGTTATCAGAACAAAGTGAATCCAAAAATTCGCATTTAAATGTGCAAAAATAAGCAAACAAATAAAAGAAAACCATCTTTTTGCGTAACGGGCCGGACATTTGATGAACCCAACTTCAAAGTAGTAAAACTCGTAAGTACTTACTTTTAGAAATCCAACTTTTGCGAGCACGTATTTGTTGTCATGTTTTTTGTGAGATCAAAACATAACTTCAAATAGTTGTGAGCCAGGAACAGTAAAAAAGTGCTGCCAACTTACACCTTTTCCAAACCTAAAATACACTGTACAGCACCAAGTCATAAAACAAACAAAAACACACAAAATAAACAAGAAAAATCGCGAAACCCGTATATTTTCGGAAACTAGAAGTTATTTGCCGTTCAAAAATGTATTCAAAAAGAAGTTTCACTGTATTTCAATTTTAGACCCTCAGGTTGACCTTACCATGGACCGACCCTTTAGCCATTGACACTAACTGTCTACTGATCACCCTCATTAAGGAATGATTAATTTTCTTGAATAATTAAAACTTTGCAGCCTGTCATAAAGTAATCAAAATCAGACAAATCTGTTTTCATGTAAATTCATGGAATGAACACCTGTCAATTTGATTTTGGAGGGAAAGAAAGTTAAATTTCTTTTTTTTTTTAATTTTATGTACTTTAAAAGCTGATCTTTAAGTTTAAATTTTTTGCGCTTGTGACAAAAACGAAGGAGCAATCAAAGAATTTATAATTTTGGTGCATTTAACTAATCTACATGGCCGTTCTTGTAAACTTGATTGTGATAGTTAAAAACTTACTAGTTGTTGTTTTATTTTTAAAATTATTTTAAAAATTGTATTTTTCACAATTTTATTTCTATTAAATTGTCTCTTTTTTACTCGATTTTCCTTAATTCATTTTACTCACTTTTTTGCACCAACTAAAGCGCAACAGGAAAAGGAACCTTGGTTGACAAAAATAAAATTTTTAGTGTAGCGATCTTTGCAGAATTTGGTTGTAAAAACAAACATGAAGATTCTCTCTTTTAAGAGATTTGTTTTCTCTTCAGTTCCCGCACATCAGATATTGACAAAGGATTCAAATGTGATACCACTGATACCAGTCAAAGATAGTGAATGGACAGTTGTTCTTAATAAAAGAAAAAGAGACCCTAGTTCACCTGACAATGGCTCTTCTGAGCATAAAAAAACTCCCAATGTGAACTCTAAAACCAAAACCAATTAGGGAAAAAAGGGAAAAGCTATTTTTTCCCAGTCTTCTAATGTACAAATACCTAGTTCTAGCAATAGTAGTAATAATTATTTCAATGTTTTAGAAATCGAAAAACCGGATAAACCAGTAGCCAAGCCCCTCCCTCTCCCTCTTTTTGTCTCTGGTGTGGGAAAACCACTCATATTCAAAAGAGTCGTATTAGATCCCTTAGTTAAGGACTCTAAACTACAAATTGTTAATAAATCTCAAGTTAAGGTCTTAGTTAAAACTCGTGAAGAGTATAATACTCTTTTTAACCACCTTAAAACTCAAAAAATTAGCTTTCATACTTTTCAGTTTAAGGAATGTAAAGCCATTAAACGTACGATAAGAGGACTTCCCTCTGATTACTCAGTAGATGACATTAAATTATCACTTGTCTCTTAAGGCCTGTCGGTAATCTCTGATTACACAGATAAGGCATTTTATCACCAAGGCTCCAATGCCACTGTTTACTCTAGAGGTTGAGCCGTCTCCTGTAGTCGCCAAAAAACTTGAGAAGATTACCTCGATTAATAATTTGATTGTAAAATTTGAATTTCTGAAAAAAAGCAAAATAATTGCTCAGTGTCAAAATTGTATGGCTTATGGGCATACTAAACACTATTGTTATAGACAGCCGAGAGGCGTCATCTGCGGCGATTTTCACATTGCAGATGAATGCTCTCGTAAAAAAGAGTCTTTGTTGACCCTTACACCCCTTGTTCCCACATGCGTCCTTTGTGGCGGTCAGCACTTAGGTAATTACAGGGGGTGTGGAGTCTACAAAGACATTAAAAAGAAAAGACTGTCAAAGTTTGTTAACCACAAGGCAGTTCCGCCCTCAAATCCTACTCATCAATCAAGTAATCTCCCAAATAGCAACGCTAATGTCCTCAGAGGCAACACTCAGTCCAATTAAAAAAATACGAATAGTAACAACGCTAATTCATTTTATCAAGCGATTGATGAACACCTCAACACTCTAGAGCGTCTTGTAACTGCCCAAGCAGAGCAAATCGCCTCTTTACTTTCCACCATCAATGCATTAGTGCAATCTCAAAATAAAATGATGGAAGTAACAAATTAAACAAATTCCAAGTGTGGGAGCGGTGTGGTGGGGTGGGGGTCGGGGGGGGGGG